TCTAAATGTCATAAATGTTGCTGTAACCACTAGATGTCACGTGAAAACATACCTTTCTCTACCATGTCAAAAAGGTAGGGGATAAGTTTCTCTGGCAGAGATTTAAAAGACAAAATGTTCTTCTACACCCCTCTAGGTAAATAGACCACCTAACTACTTCCTGTGAGCTCCTGCCTCGGTCCACTCTGAGGAACAAATTGCGGCTGGACGTTTGCCTGCTACGGCTCCATCAATAGGAGGGAATTCCCGCATGCCTGGGAGCGTTCCTGGTACTGGCACGCCATCACCCACGCCACTACACGGCCGTGAGGTTGGCCTGCTCCAGCCACCAGTCTCCCCAAACAGTTCCCAGGCATAGTTTTGGTCAGAACAGTCCAGGGATTTTTCCCGCTGGATGGCTTGAACACCCTAGCCTGTTTGGAGGCTGAGACCATCAGCAGAGATGTGAGCTGTTCTCAGCCAGCTGGCCTCAGTACCCAGTTCCCTTGGCACGCTGAATTTATGTGTATAGATGTAGTCTGTCCATCTTGCAGGAGAATCGTTCAGATTCACAGTGACCACAGTATCCAACTCCCAGTTTGGCTGCCAGGAGTGCTTTTTCTTATTCTTGTGATATTACAACTTCATTATATTCTGTGGAAAGTAATATATTTTTCTGGCTACGTTTTGTGCTTGGTAGTGTTACTGATAAGTAATTCCCCATTGATTAGTGCCTGACTTTACCTTAGGCAGGTATGTTCACTGCTTTTAACTTCACTATGGAAAATTCAATACTCTTAATCTCTCTGTATTGCATCTTTGCCTGGCTTTACACTGTAGTGAAAACCAGGTGACTCTCCAGGAGTGCTTTTTCTGTGAGTGTTCCTCATCTGTAGGTTAAGCAGTTCCCCAGAGGTTATACTAATTGACACTTATGATAGGCAACAGATGGACCTCTGCTAAGTAAACCAGTGCTCTTCAAAATATCCTGCATTAAGTCAGCATCAGCATGCCAGACAGTTTGCGTGGTTTTAGGTTTAGGGTTTTTTTTTCTTTCTTTCTTCCCCTCCCCCTTCAGAATTCTAGATTTCAGGTATGGCTCTTCTATACAGTGAAGAGTAATGTGATGAGACCCAGACGGAAAGTTAACCTCACCTTGTGCAACGCAGTGTTGTGAGAAGGTAGTAGCTCCCGTCCCCAGAAGCAGTCTAATTGTGTCAGCTTGTCACTCTGCCAAAATTAATCCAGTTTGCTTTTTCAGCACTGATGAAGTTATACGGCTGCTAATTCCAGAGCTACCCTGGTGAACCCTAGCTTGGGGGGGGTGTCTCTGCTTCACAGTGTAGCTGTGGACAAGCTTACTATTATATTAGGCTCAGGGTCTAATACAAAACTGTCTGCAATCACTTGGAGAACTTTTTAAATTTCAGGCTATTAAACCTGGTGTCTACCTGGCATTTAACATTCTCAGTGTGCATTATCTATTTTCAAATAACAAAAAAGACTGTATGGAGGGCCTTTCTCAAAGTTGCTAAGCTGTCACCATTTTGACTGTAATATCCATTTGTTCTCCAAAAATTCAGGTTTCACTAAAGATGATCTGCCTTGCATTTTAAAATTAAAGGTGTTGTGTGGAAGGATTTATTAATCAAAATAATATGTACTGTGCCCTACATGTCAAATAAATGTAGATTTTAAACACAAAATTTAAATATATTTCTTCTTTACTATTAATTGCATCCCATTCTCTCATATTTCTCTTGCTTTTCCCCCATTTTAAAGAAATGCTTAACACCTTCAACTCCCAATCATTTCAACCATCACCCAGAATCAGGATGAGATACAAAGTTACTGTTTCACCAATAAAAGATACTTTTTTTTAGAAGCAACTATAAAGCAAATACAAAAAGAGCCTTACTGTGTTAGAATTAAATAAATGACTGTTGAGCCTACTCCCTGAAGCAGGGTCTAATGTAGTCACAGCTGCAGAATTCTGTGCATATAAAATTTTTTATATCAGTTAAAAAAAAAAGATTTCAATAAAAAGTCACCTTTCAAAAATGGAGAACTGCTGCTAGTGAGTTATATATCTCGACAGGTATCCAATATTTACCCCTGGAGGGATTTCTTCTTACAGAGGCTCTAACTCCCTAGCAAATGGAAGTGCTCACCTTCCCAGTCATTTGGACAAGGGTTAGCATGATAAAATGATTTGTTATGCCAATAAAGTTATTGTTACACTGTAAAATGGTTTGTTATGCTACTACTGCTACATAAAAATGTTATGAAAATTAAGTAGGTTCTAAGGTCCAAAAAGGAATAGGCTACTTTTAGGACTGACTAGCCACCAGGAAAAGAAAAAAAGAAGGATCTTCTGATTTACAGTTCTTCAGTACTGTAAAAAGACAACCTAAATGACCTTTTAATTAACAACTGAAATTGGTACCCCAATTAAAAAGCAGTTATGCATCTGAAATGAATGGGAACTTCCTCAGGTCAACGGTACTCAGAAAATGGGAGGAAACTGCAACAAGTCTGATAATCTAGGTGGTGACTTCTGTCTGTGTGACAGTAAGTTAAACAAGCCTAAATTACAATTCAGAATGGAAACTGAAGTACAGACTCACGGTATGCTAATCGTAACGCGTCACAGATGGGATAGCAGGATAATAAGACTGGAGGAAAACCTTACTTTGCGTATGGGATTTTAATTTTAACATTGTGTGTATCAGTCAAAAGCAGTATCTGAAAACGGTAACTATTTAATTCACAGTCAAGCCTTGTAAGTTCCGGGTACATTTTGAACTTGCAATGAATTGTATCCAGAATTTATTTTTGATTGTTCCAGGCAATCAGTCACTCCACAAGAAAGGGAAGGCCTGTTACATCTTATGCTTTATAGTTATTACATAATTTTTATACTTTTCCATTTTCATATTTCTTTTAGTTTTTATATATAAAATGTTTTTATTCTATTATTCTAATAGCAATATTTGTGTTCCTGTCATTTGGTAAATTTTGACCAGAACTGTACTGCACTGATAAGTGCAGAAGAAAGTTCCCCATTTCAACAACCAGCTGTATTTCCACTGAACTCTAAATTTGTTTCTAATCACAAAAATTCTAGAAAAAAAATTTCTAACACAATACATTTTTTCTTATAGAAGTGAGGAAGTGTTGGAAATATTTATGGTTTTCTCCTTTTAGACCAACCACACTTCAGTTTCCCTTGTACAGGCTCACTGAAGCAGAGTGAACAACACTACATTGCGAGGGGAATTTGCTGCAAATGAAGAGCTCATGGGAGAAGCAACCTGCTTTGAGTATCAGGCCCCCCCAAGAGTAAGGAAGGTGCATTCAGTTAAGCTTTGCAGATGTAGCGTGCAAAATTCTTCTGCAAGGCCTGCTTTCACAGTAACGTTATAATGTATGTTGACATACACAGGGCTGGGCCTCAAGGAAGTGATTTTGTCTTCACTGGAAAAGATCCTGACTCAAAGTCTTTGCTGCCTGACTGAACAACAGTCAGGAGAAGGCTTGTGTAGGTGCTTGTGATGTCACTGGTGCCCGAGAAGCTGATAAGCCAGGAGCAGACATATGGCTTGTGTAGGTGCATGTGATGTCACTGGTGCACTAACCAAGCGCACTAATTCAGACCTGGATTGTCAAGTGGAAGTTCATTAATCACTGCCGTAAGATACAAGTTCATTAAATTTTGAATAAAAGCAGTGGTAAGGAAAAAGCACTCGACATCTTACAAAAGGCATTTAGTAATGCAGATAAATTATCTTGAACTTTTAGACTACTTCATTCTAGACAGTTGGACAGGATGATAGATGTAACCACATACACTGATTTTTTTCTTTCAAAAGAGAAATGTCCTTATCTTGAAAAGATGTAAAAATTAAAATTTGAAAATAATTTTAAACTAATGAGTGAGATTTATCCTATAGATCCCTTTTACTTTGCTAGTAGCAGTATTTACCGGTCAGTTAGTAAAACAGCTTGAAAGTACTGAATAGACCAGGAATATCCAGCCTTTCTGGTTGCTCAGACCAGGCAGCTCACCTGACTAGCAGGTGTGGACTGCAGACTGCATCTCCTCTCCCACTGTCTGACAAGCACTGGTGGCCATGGTTAGGACCACGAGCCACGAGCAGTTTTGTTCTTAGAATAGGTCCAGACATCAGACCTATGTGCACCCACTTGGGGTGGGCCAGTTGCTACATACTATACACAGCTATGCAGAGAAAGAGCTACCACTTCTAGCAGATGACATGCAGCTCATGCCAAACAACCTTTTAATCACAAGCAGAAGCAGCCATCAGATTGAGGAAAGACTGTGGCCAAGACTGGGCTGCTGCTCCCAGAGCAACTCATCCAGCCTCAGCGCTTCCCTGCACTGCAGACTTGTTATAACGACTTCTTGTACTTGCAGTTTTTGACTGGTACTGCAGCTACAAAATGTGGATCACAGAGGTAGAGTGTTCTGATAATGCAGAGTCCCAGGAAAGAACAAATAATATGGTTAAATGTAAATGGGTACTTTAATTCCTAATACTTCTCTGACCTTTTTCAAGTGTTACATCCATATCTCACTTTGGGAAGAAACTTAGCCATGTAACATGTAAAATATATTTACATTCAGGGCTGAATAAATACCGTCATTGATTGCGAACTGCGGAAAGGTTTAGGCAAACTAATGTGGACAAGTCTGCTCTCCTTTGCTGTACCTGTCTCGGTGAATGAGAGCCAAGAACTCAGGTTAATTTTCACCTGTCCCAGCAAAGGCCAGAACGGGGGCTACGCCTGTACAGAGCCTTACAAGATATAAGGAAGGAGAAGAGCAGTGCACATTTTAATAACGTGAATATCGTTCTCTAATTCAAAATACAATTAAAAATCTGTGCTGCTATGCATCAGCTACTACACCCCCCTTTCAGGACAGAGACACCCAACAGCAGCAGGCTGCATGTGAAAGGACTGCTGGGATCCGAGTACAAAAGGAAATGGGAACTTACGGAGAGGAGTATTTGGATAGCGCTGTGAATGACCTCTAGGTACTGGAAATCAATTATGCAGCCTGTCACAGAGACGTAGGAGTAATCGTCTAGGATGCCAGGGGCAGAAGGACGCACCACCCTTCGTATGCAGCCGGGCCCGTGTTCCCGCCACCAAGAGCGGTGCATTGAGATGTTAAAGGTCATGAGATCGGTTTCCTAGGAGACAGGGAGGGAAAAAGCGTGAAAACCTCTAACTTTGTGTTATTTAAGGTAAAGCAAGGGAAATAAAAGATGCTTTCAATTATTATAAGGAAAATGAGATAAGTAACTTGCCTTCCCGCTCACCCCAGTAATTGTAACTAAAAGTAGGCCATTAAAGGGGAGAGAGGAAATTGCAAACATTTATCGTTTATTTTGTAATTGTGCATAGAAGCTTCTGTCTGGCAGAGGAACCGTTGTACCAGGTACTGTACAAAACACAGTGCATATCTTACATGTCCACGGACTTAGAGCCTGAAAAGCAATTTCATTGTTACTTGATTAGAATGTCACTTAAGAATTAATTTTTTTAACAGGCAACAGAGACAGTTTTACTGTCTAGATCAGATTGTAGACAATTACTAGAGACAATCTAAAACAAACTTCCACCATATTTATTTCAAGTAATAACTGTAAATTATAACTATTATTTCAAGTAGGACCACAGCCGGGCAGACTGTTTCAGCTGCCAAAGATTCAAATGAAAGTTTGTCTCCAGCCAAGCACCCTGCTCTCTTTTCTCCCCTCTGCCCCCCATCCAGATTACCATCATCTCAGTTTAGCTAAGAAACCTGCTTCTGTGAACTAAATCTAGGTTTAAAATACACGCAATAACCTCTATTCACTCAAATTATATTCAGCCTCAACCACAGCTTGTCCAATCAGGCCTTAAACCTACCATAACACGCACTGGCTGCGTTGTAGCCCACACGGTACGTACAATGTCTGTGCATTTTAGTTACCATTATCCCACTTCTACTTGGAGCAGTGAAAGTGGCAAACATACCAACGCACTGAAGATTTTCTAACAGCTTATCTATGAAGTACAATCAGGCAAATTCATCTGAATTAACAACAGGTTTAGGTCTTTAGGTCATGCTCAAGCAAAATACACTGAAGATGAATGGATGCCATTTAAATGCCAAAAACCAACCTCCTCATTGGAGATAAATGTGAGATTAGTTATACCGATACTTTAAATAATTAATTCAGATTTAAGTTTCCATGTTTCCCCATGTCAACTCCAAGGTAGCTGTAAAAAATGTGTGCAAAATTGTCAGCCGTATGCCCACAAAATACCCCCGTTCCCATACATGCCAGTTTGTCAGCGCTGCCGTGACACTGATTCACCCTTTGCATCCCACTCTGAAAATCTGTCCTGTCAGTCTGTCTGTGGCCGTCTACTTTCACCCTGACTAAAGGGGCACTCAGCGCAGATTCCAGTTGCAGAAGGAGTCCTCTTGTTGTTTTCCTTTGTTAACCGCCTTTATTCCGGCCACACCTGAAAATTAATGGGTGAATTACATCCTGCCAGTCTCTGTTACCGCTAGTTCGCAGTAGAAATGCCTTTGTGATTTGCTGCTTTGTTCTCCGTAACTTCTTTACTCTCAAAATGCAGACTTGCTGGAGCATTATTTACAGTTGATAAGGCATTTGTCTTTTGACTTTGCATGTCATTCCTTGACACTGGTTTAGAAAATTTTCAGCTGCGATATGAAAATGAGTTGTGAAATCATAAGCTGACAGATAATTCAGTGTAATGAAAATATAATTATAAATATATAGTCATAGGAAACAGCCGAGGCTTTCTCTGTAGGACAATGCCAGAGATTGCACAGTGTTATCAAGTGCTTTTAATTGTCAACTGTAAGAAATGCCATTTGTCAAGCAGCACACACATATTCACTCTTATCTATTTCAGTAACTCTTTGTTGAGTATGAATATGGATTTGCCATGTGGGTTAGCGTGTATCAAATATTGCAAGGTAACGCTTTCTTATCACAACTGTGGGAACAAATTGTGACGTCCGTGGCGTTGGTGCCACAGCTTTCTTCACTCTTGAGGTTTTTTTTCTCCTTTCTTTTTTTTTGTCTTTAAGTTTTGTTTATTATGCCTTGTTTCAGTGTTTGTGCTTGGCTAGGTCACAGCCAATGGCAACGAAAAATGGTAAATTTGCATAGGGAAACAGCTTGATAAATGTTGCCGACACATTTAAAATGTAAGAATTTGGCATGTGGTCAGTACAAACACCTCTTATACATAAAATCTTTCATTTCTGGAATATTGTTATGTTTCGTTCTTGGGGTGATTAAAAAAAATTGCTTGCCTTGATGGTCATGTTTAGAGATGCTTAACTAGATGGTCATGTCCATATCTCAAGGCTGCTAGTGATGCAGTGAGAGAAGGAAACAGCAATATTACAGTTAAAATTCTTTGACTAAAAACAAAACAGATGTCACCACAGCACTTGCTGCTTTTTTACCAAAAAAATATTATTCAGAAATTATAGATAAAGGCTGGGAGAAGAGCTTTTCATAATTACTTTTCACTATGTATATTACCTCCTGAGTCCTCAAAGCAGGTAAAAGCGGATAATGATGGCCCAGCAAAGATTAGTTTTAGAAATGCAAACAAAACCACCTGGTGCAGTAGCTTGACCTCTAAAATATCACTTCACAAAATGGCAGCTGTAAGCTCTTTGAGCTGATAAATGTTAAGCTGACAATCAATAAAAGAAAGCCTGACAAAAATCAATTCTTTTTTTTTTTTAGCGGCTGAAGCACACTCCTCTCTAACTTCTTGGAGATTCTTAATCCATAAAGTGAGTCAAATATCCCAGGCATTAAAAAATTAACCTGCATCTTTATCGCCATTTACAGAAGTTTAGAAAATTCAAAAACTCTTTGCCTGGGTATACAGGTTTTAAATATCAGTGAACTTCTGAGAGTGTTTCAGTATTTGTGAACTCAGTGCTTGGAAACCCTGTGTATGGTGGAAAAGCTGCTGCCCAAGTGGCTTATTCTTAGTTGTACGTTTAATGAAAGTTCAAAATTCTTTCAGAAAGCACAAGCAGGTACTTGAAGTTTTTCAATAGATCATGTACTGTTTTCGAATGCCACAAGCAATCATTAAGCAAATGCATATAAAATGCTTAGTCTTCAGCAGGTGATGTAATGTAAACTGTTTATTTCTTATAGAAGAATGCTGCTGCTTCATAGCACGTGACTCAGTTTCAGGCTCTGTACAAGAGACATCAAGTAGTCTCTTTGCAATCCATTTAACAATTGAAATTTCAATCATGGATGAAAACCTGCTGTCTTCTGAGCTTCAAATTCATAACATATATCTAGATCTTAATTCCATACATCAGCAGGTGAACTATACTTCCTCAGCTGTTAACCTCTCAGACAGATGCCATAAATGAAGAGTGGGCAGAACACAGATAATAGGACTTCCATGAAAATCATGTGGGACTTATGGAAGTGACACAGGGAAGGGTAATCCTATGTCCTGCTCCTCCCTTTTTCAGTCAGCACTGAAGCAATACTCCAGTCTGTGGGAAGAAGTTTGCTCCTGAGCATAGGATCAGCCCAATAATCACACTTCTACGGATACAGAGTCCCACTTAACTATCTATGGCTTTTTAAGCTTTTAAAGTATGTATAGGATTTCTGTTGGTTGTCAGCCCAAGGATTAATTTTGATCATTATTGGAAATCATTGCTAGGGCAGGTACTTTCTTTTAGGTGAGATGTAATCCCTTTAAGTCTCAACAATACTGTTTTCTAAGTGCTTGGAGATAATGTTTAATTTCATTATATCTGCTTAAATTCTACATTTGGTTTCAAGTGGACATTTTCTATTGGGCAGGGCTTTGAGCAACCTGATCTAGTGAAAGATGTCCCTGCCCATGGCAGGAAGGTTGGTCTTAGATGATCTTTAAAGGTCCCTTCTGACCCAAACCATTCTGTGATTTTATGATTTGATTTTTAGGTTGTGAATCTAGATAAAGTTTAACAAATAATAGCATAACACAGTTTATTTTTAAAACTAAAGAGCAATAATAAGGATGATGTTCCTTTCATTTATTTGTCTATACTTTATGTACAGTGCCTATAACAACAACACAAAAAATTAATGAGAAATTAAGACTAAAATCACCAGATGTGAAGAAAAAAGACACTAAAACTCCAGGAAAAAAAATCCAACACACAAGATTGCCTTGTATAACAAAAAAATACAATGCTGTGACATGATGATTATGCATTGCAGAAATATTTTTTTTCACTGTATGTTTCTGCTTTATGACGTGCTATTTTATATTTCTTTCATTCCTTGTTAGTGTCTGTGAGAAAGACAGTATCTAGTAAGACAGTGTGTTGAGTGGGATGGAGGAGAAGCACTTTTCCTCCATGAGACAGCAGTCAACACTTGAAATTTCACAGAATTGTGCAAGAGCACAAAGGCCTGGCAAAGCATAATGTTAGAGATCTTGACTTTACTGTTGCTTGTGTGGTACCTAGCCCTTCCTAACACTTTTTATGATATTGATACATACTATAATGCTTATTATAAATGAACATTAATTAGGCTGGGGCAATAAGCATTCCCATCCCATTTCCTAAGAGTAATAAGGATGCTCTAGTTCTGACTAGCTACCCAGTTTCTGTCTTTAACAGTGAGGAGACAAAATTTTCAAATAAACACCTGGTCAATAGGTAATAAAAGATAATATGCATAATGCTAGGAAAAAAACAGTACCTTTCCTTGTAATTTACACCCAATTAAGCTTGTAGTTAAGATTCAGTTGGCATGGACAAGGGACACACACATTCCTTAGTATCTAATTTCAAGGAGACATTAATCCTCATTAGATACAAATGATGTGTTCCAGTGTTAATGAAACCCGCTCTAACTGTAGATGTACTTGAAGCATGAGCATCAGCTATTAGCCAAAGACCCCCACTGGCAGCATAACCTTAGTTTTCCACCCTGTTATTTCCTGAAACCACAGGTTCTCATCCCAGCTTGCTCTGCGTATGACCAGTTACGCTCCATCTCCTCTCAGTACTGTTGAACAAATTGGTTTTGAAGGCCTGGGCAGATAATACTGAAGAAGTCCACTGGCAAAATTACCTTGTGCCACTAGCTCCCGCACTGTCTTGATTGGGATGATC